CACACACACACACACACACACACACACACACCTGTCTCAGTTCCGGTTTCTATTGCTGTGAAGAGACACCATAACCACAGCAACTCTTTCTTTTTTTTTCTTTTCTTTTCTTTCTTTCTTTTTTTTTTTAAGTTTTTTGAGACAGCACTTCTTTTTGTAGCCCTGGCTATCCTGGAACTCACTCTGTAGACCAGGCTGGCCTCAAACTCACAGAGATTCACCTGCCTCTGCCTCCTGAGTGCGGGGATTGAAAGGTATGCACCACTAAGGCCAGCTTCCATGGCAACTCTTTTAAGGAAAACATTTAATTGGGACTGGCTCACAGTTTCAGAGGTTTAATTCATTATCATGGCAGGGAACATGGCAGCATGCAGGCAGACACGGTGCTGGAGGAATAGCTAAGAGTCCTACATCTTGCAGGCAACAGGAAGTTGACTGACAGTCACACTGAGGGTAGCTTGAACAAAAGAGACTTCAAAACCCACCCCCACAGTGACACACTTCCTCCAATGAGGCCACATCTTCTAATAGTGCCACTCCAGTTGGGGGCCATTTTCTTTCAAACCAACACAGGCACAAAAAAAAAAAAATTTTTTTTCAAAGAAAAGGGAAAAAAACCCACAAGGTTAGTTGGGTGTGGTGACACATACCTGTAATCCATTGGGACTTGTCAGGCAGAGGCAAGAGGGTCATTGCAAATTTGAGGCCAACGGGATCTATGTATTGAGTTCCAAGGAAATATAATGAAATCCTATCTCAAAACCCAAAGGTAGGGAGGAAAGGGTCTGGGGATGTGCCTCGGTGGGTGGAGGGCTAGCCTAGCATGCAAGAAGCCCAGGGTTCAGTGTCCAACATCACATCAAACTGACTGAGTATGGTGGTATATACCTGTAACCCCAATACTTGGGAAATGGAAACAGGAGAGTTGCTAATTCAATAGCATTCATAGCCACTAGCCTGTGCTCCATGAGACCCTGCCTTAGAAACCAAACCAAAGCAAAGCCCACAAGAGACTGGAGGTATAGTTCAGTGACAGAGTGTGTGCCTAACTAGGACAAGCAAGGCTCTAGGTTCAGGCTAGGAACGCAGCTCCAGGGTCCATGCTTGCCTGGCATGTAAGAAGCCCTTGGTTCCACCACCAGAACCAACACAGGAGCATATATGCATACACACACACACACACACACACACGCACGCACGCACAAACAGGCACACATATACACACACACACACATACAAGCACACACAAGCACAAGCAGGCACACAAGCACACACACACAAGGACAAGCAGGCACGCGCGTGTGCACGCACACACACACACACACACACACACACTTCAACCCCTAGCACTGAAAGGGGGGAAAGCCCACAAGGTTATTCTCTTGCCGCTCTAAAGCATAAAGTAGGCACACTGGGCTTGGTTGCTTCTAGGAGAGAACCCACACTGTACTCTCTGAGCTTCTAGGCCTACTTGCTCTTCTTGCATCACTCCAATCTTGCTTCTGGCATCCTGACTCCTGTTGATGGCAATGGCCATCCTTCTGATAAGACCTTCATATTCACCAGTTCCACCCAGTCATCTATGATAAATAACATCCTCTCAAGATCCTTAAACTGGGCAGCGGTGGCACACGCCTTTAATCTCAGCACGGAGGCAGAGGCAGGAGGATCTCCGAGTTCAAGGCCACCCTGGTCTACAGAGAAAGTTCCAGGACAGTCAGGGCTATGCAGTGAAACCCTGTCTTGAACCCCATCCCACCGCACAAAAAAAGTTCCTTAAACTGAACCTTTAGGTATATATCTACAATCCCAGCCCTCGAGAGGCTGAAGCAGGAGGATTACAAGTTTCAGGCCAACCTGGGCACCAAAGCAATAAATACATTGCTAAGAAAGGGGATCAGGCAATCAGAGGTGGAGGGGATGTCTCTTACCATAGAAAGTAACACAGTTAGAGTGTGATGGTTTGAGGTGGGAGGGGATGTCTCTTACCATAGAAAGTAACACAGTTAGAGTGAGATGGTTTGAAGGGAATTGTCCCCCACAGACTCAGACAGCTGAGTGTTCCGTGGTGGTCTGGGGAGCTTAGGGAGGAGTCACCTTGCTCAAGGGAGGCAGGCTTTGAGAATTTAAAACCTCACCATTTCCAGTGTGCTTTCTCTCCTCTGTACTTCAGCTGAAGATGTGAGCTCTCAGCTTCCTGCTCCTGACGCCAGGCCTGCCACCTGCTCCCATACCTCCCCACTAGGATAGAGTCAGTCCTCTGGACCTGCCAGCCCAAATAATGTTCCTTCTGTAAGTTGCTTTGAGTCATAGTGTTTTTATCACAGCAATGGAAAAGTAACTGATACATCCAGCCTCTGGGGATTGCAGGACAAGGACATTTGTGGTTGGGAACTATTCAGTCTACCAAGTCCCCACCCCAGCATCCCCGCTGCTCCCTGCTTCTCCACTTCCATTAGTGACACCTCTAACAATGTTTACTACTGCCCACCCCACCCCTATTCCTAACGTGCCTGTACTATTGTGGTACCCTCTTTGCTGATTTCATGTCGACCCCTGACCTCTACGAGTCATTCTCCAGATCTTTGCAATATGTAAATCAGATTTTGAAACTCCTCTCTCCCTCTGTGAACAGAATAAAACCCCACTGGACCCACACAGTCAGTCCCACTGCCCACGTCTCTGGTCCTGTCTTCTACCTCTCTGCAAGCTGATGCACACTGCAGGGCCTTGTCACTGGCTCTTACCTCTGCCTGAACACTTTTACTCCAAACCTTGAGGTACCTTTTCTTTTCTGTCACTCATTCCAGTTCAATGCACCATGCACCTGCTGCAGAGGCCTTTTCTGGTGGCTCTATGCCCCGGCTACTCCCTAACATACCACCTATTTTTTTCTACTTCTTTTGTTGTTGTTGTTTTGTTTTGTTTTTGAAGACAGGGTTTCTCTGTGTAGCTTTGGAGCCTGTCCTGGAACTCGCTTGGTAGCCCAGGCTGGCCTCGAACTCACAGAGATCTGCCTGGCTCTGCCTCCCGAGTGCTGGGATTAAAGGCGTGCGCCACCACCGCCCGGCTATCTTTAGTTTTTTCATTCAGTGTTTATCCATCCTCTTTCTAGAATGACAACTCCCTGAGAAAGGGGCTCTCAGGACTCACTGTGAGAGCTCAGTAAACACTTGTGAATGAATGAATGACTGTAGCCACCAAGACTTCACATTTGGAGGCTGGGCAAGTGGCTCCGTTGATAAAGAGCTTGCCTAGCATTCAGAAGGCCCTAGGTTTGTTCCCATTACTTCATAAATGTCTGACCACAGCACACACATGCCCACACTCATAAACACATCAATATAACTTTTTAATTAAAAAAATAAAGTTCAAGGCAGCCTAACATGCATGAGAAAGATCCTGTGTAAGAAATAACCCTCTTAGCCAGGCAGTGGTAGCACACTCACGCCTTTAATCCCAGCACTCAGAAGGCAGAGGCAGGCAGATCTCTGTGAGTGCA